AATGATGGTCGTTTCCAGGACAACGGGGGCTGTGGATATGTCCTGAAGCCGCCGGTGCTCATGTCCAGTCAGAGGAGCTTTGATCCCGCCTGCAGCCAGCACAGCATCAAACCAACACACCTGCTGCTAAAGGTACAGCTGCAGAGCACCGGACGCTAAATAATCCACTCTAGCTGGATTGATGGTTACACGGTGTAATGTTACATGGCTGTGTGTCTGCTTTACGTGTATGAACGTGTGTGTCTGTAAGGGGTTGTCTAACAGGGCCCATCGTTGCCTTTATGTTATGCTTTCTTGCCTAATACTGTGAACAAACTATGATGTAAACTCTTTGAGAGTGTCTCAGTTCAATTAGATTATCTCCCCTTAGAAAGTTAACTGAAAGGACGGGGAGGGCTGATCTGAAATGATTACACACATGGTCCAATTAATACATCATCTATATCTCATTATTTGCAGTATGTTAGGGGCTGACCTTTTCAAGTAGTATTTCTAAGAAATAAGACAAGGAGGACAGTGACATCTTCCCCTTAGTGTGCTGTAAAGAAAACACATATAATTTAACTTTCTTGGTGTCCAATTACAGAGGTGGAACAGTTTGATCTTTTGTATAGAACACAATGTTTAGAGATGATGGAGGATTTAGAGCACAGAACATAATGTGGGACTAACGGGGATTACGCCGCACTCAAGAGATTTAATAAAAAAAAAAGGTTGAATCAGTCTTTTGAAAGGTAATACATGATCACTTTTAATTGTCACTTAACATTTACTTTACTTTACTTTTATATTAACAATTACTTTCCTTTAAACTGATTGCAAGTGAGTCCATGTGTTGTTTTTTTCCAATGGGACCAAGTGTGGATCTTGGATTTTGGATCTATTTCCTCATTTGATTTAGTCCGTATGGCATTGTCGCTCATTTAAATAAAACATGCTAATATTGTTTAAGAAATAACATTGTGCATATTGTTGCGTTATAGTCCTGCAGTCAAACAGTAGCTCTACCCTGGATCTCCACTATGCTGTTTTCTGATGCAGGAAATAAAGGGAAAGTAAAGAAAATGAATCTTTCTCAGACAGCCCCTCATGAGGATGTATAGACTCTCACAAGTAACGCTAAAGCACACCAGACTTGGCTTTCTAATGGGAGTATGTGCACACATTGTACATCTTCCTGCACAGTCCATGAAATATACATTTGGTGTGCTCAGCTTTTTAAGAAGCCCTGGGAAAACTTCACCTTTATTTATTCACATCAGCATTCTGTATTATTTGATCACTTCAGGGAAAATTCTGCAGTCTCGGCTCTCTACTCTCAACTCGGTGGGAATCAGAGTCACGAGTAGCATTCAATGTTGTAACTTTGGTTCGGTCGTGGTTTTTCAAATTATTCAACTGCTCAGGAAAACAATATTTCCCCTCGAGTTTTCATGAGTCTATTTAGCATAAAACTGTCGACCAGAAATGATCTGTGTTTTAATCGCAAATCTTTATGAAATGATTTCTCCTGACACTTCAAAGTATTGACTACTGTGGCTGTGAATGAACTTGAAGCAGGACTATTTTTAGACTATAGGGGGGGGGGGTAATTTTGGGGTCGGACATTGTAAAGCCTAGTGGGGCATGTCGTGATAAGTACATGCAGGTTTGTCTTTGATCAGAGCCAGGAAAGGGAAGGCTCAGTGTGAGAGGACTGTAGATAAGCCTGCCTCTCCCCAGACTAAAGTAATTACACCCTTCTGCTCTTTTCTTTTCTGCAATCTATCAGGTTCTTGTGTTTTCCCCTTTCTTTTTATAGTTCATGACATCGATTTCATTCTCATACACCCCTGAATGACCGTAGCTACTGCATCTCTCTGTCTGTGTGCCGGTTTACAGGTAATTAGTGGGTCCAACCTACCTGTCCCCAGGAGTGGCAAAGCCCTGGACCCCTTCGTCAGAGTAGAAATTCACGGGATCCCATACGACTCGCAGAGAAAAAACACACATACTGTCAAGGGCAACTGTAAGTACTGCAAGACAAACTGTGTGTGGTCCTACGTCAGACACAGCTTGACTTTCTCAACTCGACTTTGTTGCACTTTACTTTCATTCAAAAATGTACTCTTTCAGACTTGTCTCAGCAAACAGTGAGGGATCTTAAAGTGTTTCCTGAATTTGAGAATTATTGAAAAGGTTCACTGGAAGCGTAGGACTGTAAAAGAGTCTACAGCGTGCTAACCTCAATGCAAAGTTGTACTAAATGCTAATATTGGCATGCTAGAGGGCTTATGATAATAAGGTAGAGTATGCCGATAACCATGTTTATAATGTCAGTCTGGCTCATGCCTATGAACTGTTTGCCAATGAAGACTAAAAATAAAATCTTTGGTGGAGGCACGTGGGAATGCAATACGTTTAGCAGGTATTTGACAACTAAGAGAGTATACAAACTCAACTTGATGACGCTGATGAAAATATGTCTCTGTCAATTCTGTGGTAGCCATTAAGTTGGGTACTGAAAAACATGGTTATCCATTCAAACCTGTATGATAAATTTAACTTTAAAAAACACAACATAAAAGTCAACTCATTACTGTAAGTACTAGCGATGACTCAAGTCAGTAAAATTCTATCTCTGTTACATCCAACATCCACACCACCTTCCAAGCCATTCCACCCATGCTGGACCAAAGTAGTTGATTAACTGACTGACAGACCAACATTACTATCTCTACAACCTTGCCTTGAGCATGGTTAAAAAAACACTTACAGATTCAAATCAAATGACATTTTAGAATATGCCTTGTTTTCTGGATAGGACAGCTGAAGGGAGACAGTAATGTTGCAACTGCAGCTCGGACTATAGCCTCTGTACATGGGGCGCGCAGCATAACCACTAGGCTATCAACGCTACAAGAATATGCCTGGTAACAGCATACATGGACTGGACAGACATGTAAACATTTGAGTGAAAACGTGATAACCACCTGAAAATGTCAACGAGAATGTCATTTCTCTGTGACAGTAGTATTTTGTTATTTCAGTTTTTGTTTGTTTCTTAAATCCCTTTCCCAGTAAGCTGCTGTTGGGCTTCTGAGGAGCAATGTGCTGATGAGTTTCCTGAAAATGTAGAAGTGGATTTCCTTTAAAGAGGAGTCTGTCATGCCTCTTTAGCTGACTGGAAACATGGAGCCGACAGTCTTACTGTGCACAACTGAAGAGTGGTTTAAGGCTTCAGTTTGATACTCACACATACAAACACTGATCATTTTCTGCAGATGTTAGGAGGTTCAGACTTGAAAGTACTACTCCTAGGGCTGTCAAGGTTTTTGTCAGATTACTTACGGTTCAGCAGGTGTTCAACACCAAAAATACAGTACAAAATGAGCATTTGAGTAGTAGCTTTCATTTTCAAAATGCCAACATGAAAATGAACCTCAGTTTTGAGACACAAAACTGATGTGATACAGCACTGAATTGTGGCTGCTGAGATGAGCGAGAAAGGGAAAGAAAGAGAGATAGTAGGAGTCCTGGAGGGCACAGCACTTATGCATGGGCATAAATCAAAAAATCGGTTCACACTTTAAAACAGATAAGGTCAGTGGAGAATACGAATGAATATGCATTTAAATTCAAACTCCAATGTAACAGAGAAGCCTGAGAAAATTGTTTTGTGTGTTTTGGAAAAGATGACTCGTTAGTTTTGTTTTCTTGCTCTCCTCATGTCATTACAGTATATTGCACTTGAAATACACTTGTCATGTTTTTTTTTGTACCAGGCTGTAAACATGTTTATTTCTTCTGTAAAAATGAGCATTTTAATAAAGGACCTTATTGGGAATTACATTACTTTTAGAGTCAGCCTCCAGTGGACACTTGAGGAACTGATTTTGTCTCTTCCACACTGACTTCATTTTTCCACACTGAATGTTGCTCATAGGTTCAAGCACATTATTCCCCTTTAAAGTGTATATCGGAATCAGGTGAAGTTGTTATTTACAGAAACATAAGAAATTAGCATTTATGTAGACAAGTGCCTTTTTTGTTGTCCCTTCCAATATCTGCTCTCATGTCACCCTCTTTTTGTGTCTACCAACTACCGAGGAAAACAATTGACTCCAGGAAGGGAATCAACTAGTTTCTTCACTGTGTCTGTATGAAGTTTGTTGTTGATAGTTTAGAGCAGTTTCAATGAAAACAGCTGCTTGGCTGCAGTGTTTGAAGGTAAAGAGAACTATGAGAGTGAACCAAAATATTCGAGTTGTGGGCTGTAAGACCAAAACAATGACTACTCTTTGCATTATAGAACAAATATGTAGATTAAAGTAACTTTTTCTAAATCTATCATTTGCTTATTGATCCTGAAGCTCTTTTTTTTTCTGGTTACCATTACAGCTCTGAGTCCTCACTGGGATACAGACATGAACTTCAAAGTCAGTGTCCCCGAGCTGTGCCTTGTCCGCTTCTGTGTCAGGGACCAGACCGGCTTCCTCAGCAGTGATTTTGTGGGCCAGTACTCCGTGCCCTTCACCGGCCTGAAGAAAGGTGAGCTGCAGAGGCAGAAAGGGGGAGAGGGAGTGCGGGGGTTGGGAGTCAGAAGAAGAGCTAAATTACATCAGGTGACATTGTGTGACCATCATCGCATTTCCCTTCGTTCAGTGTCAGCATTACTGAAGGTTGGTCTCTGCTATGCGCTCAAATTCGTCAGAGAATCCTTCTACACATCTTTGTGATATTCATACTTTTAGCAGCTTAACATACATCTTTTTTTTTTTTCTTTTTTTTTACATTCCCTTTTCTTCTCCACCTCCAGGCTACCGCTGGGTTCCTCTCCGGTCCCGAGACGGATGCAGCCTGGATCCAGCCTCGCTTTTTGTCTTCGTTTGGTGTTCCTAAAAACAACTCTATGTTTCAGACTCACACACACACACACATACACCTCACCAACAGATCAAGAAGTGTGGATGATTCAGTAACAACAACAAAACAATATATATAAATAAATAAAAACACCATTTTCATAGATATAAATACCAATTTTATTGTCAGGAAATGCATGTCTCTTTCCACTGCTTTTCTGCAGAAGAGAAGACGGTTCCAGCTGAATTTAAAAGATGATTTAATGAAGACCAAGTCTCTGCATGCATCACTAAAGATATTGAGAAAATCCTTGAGTGAGATAGAAGTCTCTTATAATATAATGAATAATTGATTCAGGTGGGATTATTGTGAGAGAGTTGATAATATCCAAACACAAGACATAATAGAGATTTAGGATGTATCATCTATATCTAAACAATAGATTGAATCCTTTTACTTGGCCTGAAAATGACAGATGATGCCAGGATACATAAAAAGTCCATGAGTACTACTATGAAAGAGTGCCTCCCTGTGAGAGCCTCAGCAGGGCAAAATGTAAATAGCGTCCACAGAGGTATACATAATTGAACCAAATCCAGTGCAGGGCCTTCTATTTCTATCCGCACTAAATCCTGGGAATGAGGCGGAGGAGACCACGGGTCAGCAGGCCTGTCAGGAGGAGGGTGGCATTAAGATAACATGAAGACCTGCTGTAGCCCTAGAAAGACTTTGTGTGTCGTAGGTGTGTGTGTGTGTGTGTGTTTGGTGTGTGGAGGAGTTTTTCAGTTTGTTTTTTGTGTAGGCAGTGTAGAGTGTCTGCCTCTGCCTGTTTTGGCATGCATGTGCATACCTGTGCTTGAAGGCTACTGATTGATAAGACAAATGATGAGGCGAGCGGCAGAGTGTTAACTCAGCCCCTCAGGCCATAGAGAGAGAGAGAGAGAGAGAGAGAGAGATGTCATCCTGTTCATACACTCTCCTCACTCCTCAACCCTCTCCCCCACTCTTTTCTCACCCTTCTCCTGTCTCCAACCTTCAATTGTACTGGTCAAGGGCGTCCAGTGGACACAGCCCGAAGGGATGAACACACTTAGTATGGGCAGACATTCAGGTAGTAGGAGCGAAGCATCACCTCCTCTTAAATCTGTCACATCTATAGTTTCAAAAACACATTTAAGTACAAATGAAAGTGCAAATATGCTAAAGAAGTAATAGTGTTTCCTTCATCCACTGTAACGTGGAAATGTGACTAATTTCAAATGTCCTTCATTTTATCAATATTTAAAAGTAGGCACATCAGTTAAAACAGTCTTCTCTGAGTCTTTTTCTCAGACCTGTAACGTCATGCAAAAGCCTCATGAGGTTCAGTATCATCTGATAAATACCCTTTGACTGGTATTTCCTTAGTGTGGCGGCTCCCCCTGCTGGATGGAGGCATTCCTTGCACCTCTCCAACAAGGTCATATTGCACAGTTCCCGAGGATAAACCACTTCTCCTTATCAAGCACCTCCTGCTCCAGTCTAATGTTGGTGGCAGCCACAAAATTCTTCTTGCTCTTCACAGTCACCTCCAGCACCATCCCATACAGCATGGGGACATTACTGTACTCCAGCTGTGAAGGACAGACAATAGACAGCTCTGCAGTGAAAACATCTGGTTAAGATATTCATTTTGGTAAAGTTTGGCTTTTTCTTCTGAATTTCTGTTGAAACTGTGGATCAGGAACTTTCGATTTGTTATTTCCTTCCATTGGGTTCTTTTAAGGCTTTACTTTTCCAGTAAGAGGCTGTTAGATAAATTGCAAGCTACTGGTCACAATGTGTTCAACACTGAAAGATCACATCAAGCTCACACATCGGGGAGAGCAGCACAAGCAGACATTAAAAACAAACTTCACACATAGTCAAAGTAAATGTTGAAGCTTCCAGCAACAGGAACGAGAAAAGATTTAGAGAGTATAGCATATACATATAAAAATAGATAGATATAAATAAATGCTCAAGTTATTTAAGGCCATTGTAGAATATGAAGGTGTTACTTGTAGAGAAACATATTGCCCATCTGTCGATCCTATTTCTCTTCCAGAGGTTTCACCTTATCCCAATCATAGAACTAGTGATGATATCTACTCCACGTATCCTTAAATATTGATTTTATTTACATAAAGGTATCATACACTGATTTTTGTATTTTCGAATATAATTTACTCAAGTTTGGAACTCAGTGTATATGCTTCTTTAAATATCCTACTAAGCTAATCCAAAAAGGATGTTTTGATTGTATTGTTCATTGATGGAGGATAGAAAATATGGACGTTGTACCAGCTCATTGAAGGTGGGGTTGTCATTATTGCGGACCACCTTCGTCTTCTTCTTGGAGCGCTGCTGAGGGTCCGGTCTCAGGTATGTGACCACGTAGGCGTCAGGGTTAGAGCCGTTTGCAAGTTTCTGGAAGGGACGGTCAACTCATGAATGCACGCCATAAAGTGGTTTTAAAGAGACAACAAATTTAGCATGAACAATAGCCTCTTGTCAAATATGACTAACAGTGCGATACTAAAAGTGAAGGAAACTCACAATGTTTTTCAGGTGTTTCACCAAAACTGAGAGCTTACAGTCTGAGTAAGAAATGAGGAGCTGGATCTGAGGAAGGGCTCCTAAAAAACATTAACATATGAGTTCAAATAAATCAAAGGATAACACATTTTGAATTGTATATGGACTATGATAAGGATGTTCCCAAGGCACAACATGGCATAGTTCATTGCATTATAAATAATGACTTGAATATAATGTTTTTCTTTTTTTAAAGGAGCAGAACATTACCTGTCACCACACTTTCTTGCACAATGTTTGGTCCGTCCAGGAATAAGCTGCACACATACTCATTCTGCAGGTGACAGAGCGATGCCGGTTTGCAAGTCAGAGACAGATTTGACATAAGACTAAAGAAAGAAACTAACCAGAAACAAAGGAACATACCCCCTTGCAGGGTCCCTCAAAAAGCTGTTGGAGGTATTTATTCAGCAGAGACATCCTCCTGGAGGGGGTGAATGACATCTTGTACCAGCCAGGAAACCTATAAAGGAAGGATGAGTTAAGACATGCAGAAAAAGGAGTGCTTTAAAATAAAACATCAACAGGATAGAAGTGTACACTTCTTTCTTCACTCACTGAGGCAGCATTGATTCAATGAAGTATTTCTGCAGCCGTTTGTGGATCAGCTCAAACTGCCCATATGTCTTTTCACTGTGTATAAAACCATCGTGGATGGTTACTCTCAGGTCATAAATCTGAAATTAAACACAAAATGGTATTAGGTAGGAAGGTGAATAAAACAGGTTCATCCACACAGTTTCATATAGCCTCCACTGATCTCCTGGGAAATCCTTTATTTGTACAAGCTTTATGAAAACACCTGAATGAATGATAGTTGTCAGTGTCACTTCATCTGCTACAGGCTGATTCTGAGTGACTGGGGAAATCTCTGTGCTTCTTTTGACTGACAAAGACGCTCCATCACTGCCTACAACTGTTTAACTTGACAGGAGACTATAATCAGCGAGCAGTGAAATACCAACAAACGTCAGTGACGCTGAAACAAACAAAAACATCAGTGTCGCTTCACTAATGTTTGTCTGGGCAGCTGCAGTTAAGTTACAGAGTCGGTCGTGTCCCTACCGGAAAGGCGTAGGGTTCAATCCCCAGCTCCAACAATCACACGTCGATGTGTCCTTAGGCAAGACTCTGAACTCCAGCTGCTGCGTCAAACAAACACTGACAACTCTAACTTTCTATCTAAAAACAAAATGCACAAAGAGTAACTTGCATCCTTACCACATCCTTTGACCTGATGGTGTATCCCTGTATGACTGCTTCCTGGATGTTGGTGCTGGGAGCGGGGTTGCCGTCCCTGGTTACTGATTCTGGTTTCTTCCCCTGAGCAATGGCATGTGTCAGGAAGTTAAATTTCACTGCAACACAGCCAATGCTTTCCTTGATCTTCCTACATCAAGAAGTAAAAAAAAAAAACTGATACTGTGAAAAATAAATAAATGCTGCCGCAGAAATAAAGCAGGATATTTTGAAGAGAGATTCTGTGCATTTCTGCGTTGCTTTACTTTGTAAAGTAGGACGTAGCCTCCAGGTCTGTGTTATGAGGTCTGAGATTGTTCTGGACGTACTGCAGGTCATTAGAGTCCTTCAGTTCTGGCATTCCTGCACGCAGCATCTGCAAACCAAAGACACCATAAATGTGAAGTGTTTTATGTAATATCATCTTTTAAATACAAGCTGTGTCGTTATTCAATGAATATCCTACCAGCTCCAACAGGCTGAGTATCAGTGCAGAGCGCCTTCTGATTATATTGTATGCTTCACAGCAGACCTCCACAAAGCGATGCAGGCGTTGAGGCTTCTGACCCCCACCCGTGATGAAGTGCTGCATCTCAGACGTAAAGATGAACGGCGATCGATCCCTATTATTGCAAAAAGTGTACATTTTGATGATCTGAATCTTGCTCTTTGCAATTTCAAAATGCTGCTTTCCTGTTAGTCAGTCTACCTTTTAAAACTCCCGAACTTTTGCGCATTGCCCATGATCTTGCCGAAGTCGATATGAAACATATGCCCACTGTGTTTCAACATGATGTTGTCATTGTGGCGGTCGCAGATCCCCAGGATGAAGGTGGCCACGCACCACCCTGCACAGGAGTTGATGAAGTTCATCACAGCCTGTACACACACACAGCAGATGAGTGTCACACCAGCAGATACAGCACAGACAAGCTTAATGGCTATCAAATATTTGACTGTGGTCTCAACCTTCTCGTAGTCCTCCTCAGTTCTGTTCCACATGTGGAACCATCTCTCCAGGGAGTCTTCTCGAAGGGTGCCTCCCAGACCAAACTCCTGATGAATCGATCCCAGGGTCACCGCCTCTGGAACCACTTCCACCAATCCTAACACACGCATAGAATAAATGTGGAAAAACATGAACTCACAGCCACAGAGATAAAAAAGACCAGGGATATGTTAACATGCATTCAAATACAAAAACTGACCCTGAAATCTGCCTGTAGAAAGACACCTGTAGGAGATCATTTGCATGTCCAGCCCCTCCTGGAGCCAAATCCTGTCCATCACACGGACGATCTGAAGCACCAGCATGTCCTGCTGCAGGTTATCTCCTGTCTGAACAACACATTTGACAGAAGGCTGAAAACTGTGTTCCTAAAAACAAGTTGATAATTGACTTACAATATCAACGCAGCTGGCTGACAGTAGAGTGCTACATCCTAAGAAATCTGGGCTATTAACTAATTCCATTTAATATCATATAATGCAAGAGTAAAATAATAACACATATTTTCATCTCTTAAATTAGTGATGAATCTGTCTGTTTTATAAAAGGTGCTCTTATGGTCTAAACTCTCTTTATGTGTGTCACAATATGTTGGTATTCAGATCTTCATCAACAGTTTTATTGTCATTATCTTTTGCTTAAAAATGTCAGGCAACAAAGTGGCACTCGAACACTACTAGGACAGTGTCACATTTCACCTCAGGAGGAAAAATTACAGAAGCTTAGTTTTCTTTTTTAAACAATGTTTATGTGTGAATCCATCAATTTCCAACCTTGCAGATGACACTGACGTTCTTGGCCAGAGGGTCGGAGCAGATGAATGAGATCCCCAGAGGAGCAGCGTTTGAGTTGTAAAACTTACAGGCCTGTTGTAAACAGAAGAGGAGGAAACACTCTTAACTGGTATAAAAGTATGCACATATTAAATCATAGTAATGACCAAAAGGTGAAATGTGATGTGTATTTTTCCTTACATCCACATCCAAGGCCTTTATATGAACTGCAGGATCAAGAGGAAGACAGCAGCCGGTCCCATCTTTGAAGAAGTCATTGATCTTCAATTTTTCTTTCATCAAAACATTCTGACGAGGAAATGCATCAAATGAAAGATCATTTCATTGGATAATGGATGATTATGAGCCATTGAGTAGGTACATGAATAGTGGATTTGAGGATTATTTGCTGACCTTACGTCGAGCCTTTTCAGCAGTGCGAACACTCTCAGCCACTTGTATGAGGACAGACACCAGGCGGGTTTCATGCTCCAGCTCCTGCCTCAGTGCTCGACCACAGCAGTGCTGCAGGGCGGCCTGAACCTTACTGAACCAGCTTTGGTAGTACGGGTCATTGTGGGCGTCCTGCAGCAGCCTGTCAGCATTGTGTAAATATTATTGGCTGATAAAAGTACTCTGCATACCACAGATGTAACATCAAATTGCAAATAATATTTGAAATAAAATATCAATGCATGCTGCAGAATCACCATAAATGTTCCTTCTTCAACATCACTTAGGATAAAAAAAATCAACAACGAATCATTTTTTTAACAGCATAACTTCCCCAAACATGACAGAAATGTCATCGAAGTGAATTAAACAATAATAAATATGTAGTGATCCAAAGAAATACATTTCCTAAGCTTGATGTGTGACTCTGTTGCTCACCAGTAGAGTTGCTGGGCGATTCGTATGCTCTTCAATGATCTCTCCAGCAGCATCATCACCAGAGGTCCATCCAACTCCCACTCACTCTTCAGAGCCTGCAGGACACGATGACTGTTCAAGCAAACAGCATGCCTCTTATTCTTATATTTAAAAATCTATTGGCTCGGCGGTACCGAGCAATTATTTCAGAAAATCCCTCTGAATGTTACCCTCGACACATCATACACAAGACAAAACCAAACCTCTGTTATTTCAGCTTGATTTAAATAAAGTTTGTTGTATAACTGATCCCTTTATGAATCAAATGCCCTGCTAATGTTGATCTTCGTTTTTCTTCAAATGTTTGTGTGTGAATCCCTGTTGTGGTTGTTTAGTTGTTGTTTGTAGATATTATTCAACTTCATTTCTTCACTAATGTTGCTAATGTTGCACACTTCTGATACCTAAGAGAGGGAAATCACACTTGAGTGTGCAAAATCATCCTTAAAGTCAAATTGTTGTGGCAATTAGTCGAGAGGCTCTGACAAGAAACCGAGGAATTAGAATGATCTAATATTTTATGACAGTTATTTATTACATTAGTAATACAGAACAATTTGTTCAGCTTCTCTTTAAACCAATTTAGCAATGTTTATGGTCAGAAGTTATTACCTCTGAATGTAGATATAATATGTATGATAAAAACAATGTGTCTGTATTTTGTCACTCAGACTGTCATACAGTTCATAATGTGTGTTTGTCTGCTTACCTGGACCAACTGGGGCAGAAAGACTTCCAGCTCTACGTCTGGTATCTGTTCAAAGAACTGAACTGCAGCTCTCCTCACAGTCTGATCATGAAAACTACAAAAGATATATGAAGATATTTAAAAAAATTATAATAGAACAGGACATCACACATCCACTGAACACCCACTTCACCCCACTTCCCTCAGGACGGAGGTAAAGAGCAATTAGGTGCTCGCCTTGGGAAAAGCCTGAAAAGACACTGTGATTTGTGTATGTAATGTTCTTTGGTGGGAATTGTCTGTTGGACAGAAACGGGGCTGTGAAAAGATATGAAGTCTGAGACACTGAAAGTCTTTTTTTTTTTTTTTTTTTTTACTGATGTTTAATTCTAAGATCTTCCAAGTATTTCCTTCAAGCGTTGGATCCACAGCCTGTGAGTGAAGGACATTCACAGACAGTAGGAAGGTCATTGACCGACAACTAAAGCTAAGCTCTACCTGTTAAAGTCTTCAGAGTTCTTCAATGCTAATCGTGTCTTTTTCATATCAGTCTTTAACATATTTATATACATGTCAAATGAGATAAAATAGACTCTGAGGAGTTGCACAGTGGGTCAAATTCTCATATTACATTACCTCGAGGTCTGAAAGCAGATGAAAAACAGTGATGAATAATTTAAAGGCAATAAAAACAAAAATAAAAATCTATAGCTGCGTACAGAACTTCAGGCATGACAGGTTGAAAAAACGTCTTACACTTTTGCATCATCTTCTTACAAGATGCAAATGCCTGACAGAAATACTGTTGAATATTCTCTGTTTGTTGCATGGCATAATGACAAGTTCCATCTTTCTGTTTGTGACTTGAAGTTTCACCAACCTGTCAGTGAGCAGGAACAGAGCCTCTTCAGGTTGATGGATGGGCCAGTTTTCTACAATAGTGTAGATTTCTGTCAAGTCTTCAGGTTGCCATCGTGGAGCTCCACCCAGCAGCAGGTGGAGGAAAGTGCTGGCTTTGTCACTACAGTAACGCTTTGTCCAGAGGAAAGACTTCTCATTTTGTGTTAGACTGGAGAAGAAGAGAGAGAGAGATACGTTTAGAAACAAAAGAACAAGAGGACAAAAATCTCCCAAAATTAAAAAAAAAAAAAAACATTTCTGCAAGTCTAAAAATATGAAACCCCTTCACCCGTACATGTAAAGAGACAAGCACTTCCACTTACAAGCAGAGACAATGCTTCTTAGAGACATCCAACATTTTCTTATGCAAGTCCTCACAGGGCTGACTAAAAATGACTGAACCAGGGAGAGCAATGGGCCTCTGATATTTCCACTCTATCTGATCCTGGAACTCGAGCTGGGGAACAACAGGAGGATGAACGGTCGTGAAGGTAAAGTGGTGTTTTTTTACGTTTTGATCAACAGGGGGCAGAAACGTCTCGTGTTACAGACCTGCAGTATGACCCCAGCTGGTTGTCTGTGGCTGTCTGATAAGGCAGGAGACGGAGGAGACGTCAGTTCAGCCAGTAAGGACATACTGAGCAGGACGGTTCCCATCAGCAGAGTCCTTCACACACATAGTTCAAATACTGTAAGTTACATATCATGCTATTGAGCTCTGTTTTGTTTTCTAGATCAACAGAAACGTATCCTGTTATCACGAGAAAACCAGCTTTGTTATCCCAAGATCACGAGAAATATTGAGATTCCCTTAAAACAACTGAAATTAACTTGTTGTCAGAGAGAAACCAGCGTTGTTATCTTGAGATTACGACACAGGTAAGTAGAGATCGATAGAAAACAACTGGAAAAAAGTTCCTCATCATCAAAGTAAAGTGGAGTAAATAAAACGTAGATGAATGTCTGCTTTGGGCTTCCGTACACATGTAAGCTGTCAGTGACTGAGTAGTTGTTTTCAAGCTTTCATGACATGAAAGGAGCTGTGTTCTACTTAACAAAAGACTATCATTTCAATGAAGGGAAACAAATGCAGACACAGAGAAGAGAGAAAACGTTTTCTCTCTCAGGCTAAAATCTGTCACACTGCCTCGTAATGTGTTGTAAATGTATTGATGCAAACAGGAGGTCTGTAGCCATCAAAGGAATAAATGGTCATGTCAAAAGTATAAATAGAGAAGTGATGCATTACTTTAAAAAAGTAGTTAGAAAGACACTCCGTCGAGCCTACAAATGGAACTTTGTGGTTACGGCAAATTCATTTTATTTGCATGTAACAACACTGTTGACACACTGCGTACTGCCATCAGAAACGTAACCTCAACCTACTGTAATCTGCCATGCAGAGCTCAAAGATGTAATAAAAACTGTCTCGGGAGTTTTAAACAACTAGGAACACCTACCTATCTCTGTACAGAGGTAGTACAGCCCAGCCTAAAAGCTCTGGGCTCTTGCCTCTCTTGGAGCCCTTCAATTGAAATGTCAACATGCACTCATACGGCAGCTTATTGACAGGAACAGGAAACACCATCCTGAAACCGAAAAACATACAGAAACATTCAAAAACATGGTTGTTACTATTGCTCACAAAATTTTATAACATCCACTAATGAATACTATATGTCCTATATACACTTATAATGGGACATTAGGCCACAAAAAAAATAGAGCCTGGATCTGGTGGCTATTTAAAATCATGGACAAAATCTTTGGAGTGAAGTTTCTTTATAATCCACTTTCTCTTCTTTATCCTTTATATTCATTCTTGAAATAAAAAGTAAAAGAAAGTTGAATGTGATAAAACAACATTAACACTTGGAAGACTGTAATTAGATTCCACCCTTACATGCGGTTACAATTGATCTTGTTTCTGCATGACAAGGCCGTGCTGATATTTTCTGAGATGCCGATGTCACAGACGTTTGTCTCTCCGTACGTCAACTCACAGGAAACAGAGAAGCACTCGTAACTGCAAATGAGGGAGTGGAAAGAGAAAGTGAAAGCCTGCGTTCTCATACAGTATGTGGTTAACATTTGTTTCCGTGTGAATATTTCAAGAGGTGACACACTCATCAGAATGTGTGTGAACCATTACTTGTTGATCCAAACGAGCTGAAGTTGGTAGAGAGTAGCGACATTGAATTGGAAGATTTCATTGTTGTACTCAACGTCGCTGGATTGTGGGTTGCCGGTTACCCTCAAACATCTGAAGTCTGACTGGAAGTTGTCAAAGAAGATCTGAAGGACTTTTTGCAGCGACTGGTGGAGCATGATCATGACTGGAAAACAGAAATAAAACTCATATCAAGACAATAGAAATACTAGTATAACAAATGCTTACCTTTCAAATGTAAAGATTCAGCATTCAAAAGCAGTTAAATAGTTAAGACTTGTACCTTTGCACACATACATACTCCAAACGCACACCATAATGTTATTACATTTCAGAATTATGATACAACAGCTGCTACTCACCAGTTTCACACTCAGTCATCTCATCATGACTCTGCAAAAGGATAACAAAACAAAGCAGCGTGGTGTTTATCTGTGGCATGCAGAGGGGTTTGCTCTTCCCAGTGTACATTTTAGTGTGCACTGAAGTGTCAAAAGACCTCAGCAAGTTACTAAACATGTCAACTAAACAGCATACTATACAAAAGTATTAAAAAGACAAAAGAAGGAGATTCAAAAAGGTGACCGAATCTCACAATGTGCTCGTAATGAAAGAAGCCTTTTAATAGCATGAATAGTTTCACTCGTGTGTCTGTGAAATGTACCAGAGGTATGGGATTGATTCTGTTGAGCGCACCGATCGAATCCTCCAACTCTGGACACGAAAGTCCACACACAAGATTGCTGATCGTGCGAACCCAGCCAACAAGCACATTGGTGTTCATCCCAGACTACACATTCACAAGGGACAAGAAGGACAAAATATACAAATTAAACATCATTACAAGCTGGAACAAATACTAAGCATTGCAGTTAAATGGATCTGTCTACGTTGTGTTTACCCACCTTGCTCCTCATCAGCTCTGTCACCTCTTGGTTGTAGCTCTTAAGAAACTCCTGCAGGCTCAACCTGAGACAGGACAAAAGGTTAAACACACATGGCAACATGGTAGGAGACCTCAAGGCAAAGCTTCCCAGTGTTTTCTACAAACAGTCGACGGTTGACACATGATCCAGTTAAAGTTGTTGTTTTAAAAACCTTAACACAGAGCTGATGCCGGGCTTGCTTGTCATCTTACTTGCAGGTGTTGTGCACACAGACAGGACGTAGGAGCGGGTGCAGGTGACAAGGCGTTCTGTCATCCTCCTCCTTAGAGAACACAGACAGATTGAAATACTGATTTCTTTGTTGAGGATTTGTGTTTTTTTTTTATTTATTTCTAAATCCCAGATTACAACATGTTCACCTTTTTCTATTTCAGTTTTTGCTGTTTAATGTCGGCAGCCATGACGTGATGTGTAAACAGAACAAAGTCGAGACGTCAGGGCAGAGGCTTTTACAGCTACAATAGCCCCGATGACAACAAACTGGCCAGGAACCAGGAACAGGTGTTTATGAAAGAAGCATTTAATGACACAAGAGTGGCCACGTCTTTCTTAGTTAATGATCTCCTCTGTAGGTGGGAAACAGAGAAGGAGTGTGAACTGACTTACATCCCTGGGCAAACAGTGTTTGAGGTTGTTCAAATGGAGCAGCCGGACGGGGACTTCTAGCTTAAGCATGTAGGACGTCTGAATGATCTCATGCATACCCAGCAGTTCTTCACTAAAAGACAAGTGAGAAAATGTAATGTGAAAAAAAAAGAAGAAGGCATGTTTGAATTAAAAGTAATCCAGTCAGAATTCATGATGGGATTTGTGCCTTACTTCTGGAGATACTCCTCAGAGTCGCACAGTTTTAAAACATAATGCCCACTGGAGCTGGGAGTGATGTCCAACAACTGGAAGATTTCTTCAATCAGGCTCGTCACTGTTCTGTTCACTGGATAAAAGATTAAAGTTCAGAGTCCACACACTTGTGTCAACATTGACTGAAGTGACTGAACAATAAGAATGGATATAAATCAAGATATAAATCTTTGATTATTGTGTTTTTATTACCTTCCGTAAGGTGTTCTGCAATGTTACTCCTGCCTCTTGTACTTAAAGGTCTCAATACTTGAATGTGTGAATGTTCATTTATATGTTTGCCTTAACTAATCTATAACATTCTATTTGATTACAATAAAAATATTTTACAAAATAACTAATACTTGATATCTACATATGTATAAAGTACCTATAACTACCTTGTGTAATATTGCACATCACCCATCCATCCATTCGTCCATCCATCTGTCCATCCATCCGTCCACCCATCCGTACATCCATCCATCCATCCATCCATCCATCCGTCCACCCATCCGTACATCCATCCATCCATCCGTCCACCCATCTGTCCATCCATCTTACCATCCATCCACCAGTCCACTCATCCATCCATCCATTTGTCCATCCTACCATCCATCCATCCATCCATCCATCCGTCCACCCATCCGTACATCCATCCATCCATCCATCCATCCATCCGTCCACCCATCCGTACATCCATCTTACCATCCATCCACCAGTCCACTCATCCATCCATCCATTTGTCCATCCTACCATCCGTCCATCCAGCCATCCACCCATCCATCCATCCGTACATCCATCCACCGGTCAACCCATATGTCCATCCATCAGTCCATCCATCCACCCAAACATCCGTCCATCCTTAGAATCTCAGTTCCTCTCTGCTACTTCAATGATGAAGGTAGAACATTGTAAAATACAGCGTAGACTTGACTCCAGTTGTAATTATCATGAATATTATTATACATTCAGAAGCAAAAAAACGAGACACACCTCCTGCATTTTTTTTCCACATAAGTCTAAAAATGATAACTAATGTAAGCATTTTGAATAACTGATGTACATTGGTGGTTAGTCTTACCTGAGGTAGGGAAAGGGAGCTGGTGATGGTCCCAGTCTCTGGCCACACTGACATTCACCTCCACCTGCTGCAGCAGGGCCGGGTTGATGTGTAACACTCGAGCCCATACAACACCTGGATTATGAACACTGTCTGTGTGCTTGTACCGTGACATTAGCCTGCCAAGTAAAGGTGATGACAGATATCGAATAAATAAAGTTTGCAACATAAACAAAATGATTCATTTCAGCATTCAAACATCACGTATGTCAGTTTCCTATAATAAAAACTTGTGTAATGCATAAGGAGATGTAGAGCATCACGACATGCAAAGCTAAACCAGTGGGGGAAAAAGCAGTGCAATGTTTCATTTCTTTTATTGTTATTTTTAGATGTACCGTGTAGGCTGGCAGATATTCTAAAACAAACTAAACACATTCATTCTTAAACAGTATTTCATAATTCTCTTACCTAGATGTTAATAGATTATATTTAAATATCCAAAACTGTAAATATGAACAAACTTATTTTCATGAACCCTCTTACTTTGAAGTTGCAGAGCAAAAAGATGCCAGACTCTTGGTGCTGCCCTCTGGAGTGTCTATGAGGTTGATGGCCCATGGGTCCTGACGAAACAAGACATTCAATTAAATATTACTTCAGGCCTAAGTCTGATTTTGCCAGTTTAAATTTGGGTCATTAATCCTAAAGGCTGTTCGTTTCTGCTAAGGGAGAAGCTACAACAGGTACTCACATGGTCAACTTCTGTCCTTGAACGGTTCAGTTTGTGAACCGGCTCGGCAAAGTCAAAGGAAAACTGCTTGTTGCTGAGGGGTAGCCGTGACCTGTGGGGTACAGGAGGGGGAGCCGTGACTTGCCTTTCTGTCAAACACGCACTTGGAAGTCTGGTTCTGAGTAAAGGTGGGCGACTCGGGACTGGCGGAGGCTTGTTTTTACTGTTTTGGTCTGTATTCCCTGGTCCTCCTCCTCTATCTCCTGAGAGATGCCCTGTGAGTTTGGGTTGGGATTCAGCCGGGCTGCGTTCATGCAAACGCGTTTCAACATCTTCAGGAGAAACCTCCATGTACTCCTTATCAATGTACTCGTAAACATGATTCACAGATGGATCCTCAGTGAGGGGCAAAGGGAGGTCAATGTCCATTGCATCTTGTTTCTGGATTGTCCCATTTCCATTTTGAGAAGGATCCATCACATTACAGGAAGTCGTTCTCCTCCTGGGCGGCTCTGTTCCACTTTCTCAGCAGGTCCTCACTTCATAGCATGGCAGAGGGCAGAACCACAGAGGTCCAGTCATTGAGAGCAGCTGTTCTTCTTCTCCTCACAGTCACTCCTCATTTCTGATTCTTTAAACATAAATGAAAAATATTACTGAACTAAGTAAATTACAGAGTTGCTTTGATGCTTGCTTTTGTCCCTTTTTAAAAGACTGTCTGTTTGTAATTATGTGTATAACATACCCAACTGTCTTAATTCTCAATATTGGGTTGTTTGTGTTTACAAGGTCTCAGGGTTTTAGTCCCTAGTATGTGTGCTTTATTCTTTGTCGTTGTATTTTTCAAATAGTTTGAGCACAGAAAAAAGATAATAAAGAGCTACTCTAAAGTATTTGGTATCATGGCCCCAAAATCATGAAAAGCAGAAATAGGGAGCCATTACATTAGCTGAAGAGTTTTATTCCAGTGAGGAAAAGTAATCTACTTTATGGCAGGATTCAAGTCAAGCTGGAGGTTTACGTTGGTTTAATAATTAACAAGCTTTCAAATCTTCACAGAAAATCTACCAGCGCGCGCCACAATGTCTGTGGCAAAATGTAGTTTAAAACATGACAGAGGTCTTTAATCATTAATGACATCATACCATTCAGATTTTATTCAACATAAGTTAAACCAGAGTAACTGAAAGTAAAACTTCTGAACAGTAACAGAGACGGAATGATTCAGTAAACAGAGATTTTATATTCACTCAAGCAGGTTGAGATTACCTCCAAATACTCAACTCAATTCTACAGTTAAAAAAGTGTAAGCCTTTTTTGGTGGTGACTTACCCCGAGAGGTCCCGTCCTGAAGACAAGTTAAATACTTGACTGAAGCCATGCTCAGCCAGTTAGACCAGTAAAACATTTGGAGAGCTGTGTTTCCTTGTGTTGACACTGCCCTCTCCCCCTTCTCCTGCTGCACACATCCCTGCTCCCTCTGCTGGATTAAGACGGCATTACATTATTCACATGCTCTCTTTGTGCAGCTGAGAAAGTTCCTAAATCAGATTTTTTTTAAAAACAAATCAGAAACATCATTTTCCCCCTTGTTTTTGCCATTTTTGCTTGTTTTATCTGCTGTGAGGGACGTTCTCTTTCGGTCTTTTTTTGGCTACCCTTGAGATGAAGTGGTACCTCTTAACTCTTCTTTGATTTGTACCAAATATATTTGAATTGATTTTCTAATTTTAATAACATCTCTTACTGCTTTCTTTAATAGTCAAACATATCATTGAGAATCTTTTGCCTTGAGAAATGTACAATAAAGGCTGCTCCTGCAGTTTGTTGTTAATCACTTTGTCTGACACCTACCGTGCTGCAGCTGATTAAGACAAAAAAAAAACTATATTTAATAAGATGACTACTTTATACTGACGGCCTTGCTTGTTTTTTTAGCTCATAGAGAGGCATCATGATTATTTCTAGTCTGTTTAATAACCAGTTAAAAACTCCTTACTGAAGCTTTAAAATAATACTCACCATATTCCATTATGTAATTAACACTTCTGGGAAACCTTGAGGATATAAATACATTGATTAAAAAAAAGCTGACAACTTCATTTGCAATATATGAACACATCAATTCAAGTCAACCAAACAAAAGAGACTGCTTCATATCCACTCCTCGTGCAGGAATGTCATTGAGCAGGTTGAAGAATGCGTGTGTTTCTCGTTGGAAGTGAAATGAGGAAGCAAGACGGGAATATGTGTTTGTGTACTCCAGATATGGCACATGAGGTAAGAATAACCTAAATTACTTTTTTTTTAGCTGAGGCCATTTTAAACAGAATCCATTTCTTCTTCCTCTTAAAGCATTTGGTTTGTGTTTAACTCTCAAAGGAGATCCTTTGAGCTTACAAGGGGCTGAGACAGTCCACCGTGGCCCTTTAGAGGGAATGACACCATCAGCAGTCCACTGAATGTGACACAGAGGTGTCAGCTGAGGTGAAACTGTGCAGACCGGGTCGGTGATGGAGGAGATCGGGCAGAGAGAATTGCATTTAAACCACACAACTGCTCACATTTCACCCCCGGATGCAAAACCTGGATTTCCTGGGTACTATGTACTCATCCCCTTTCTGCTACTCACGCTGACTGGATGTGTGGTGGCAATGGTAGGATCAGTTCTCTTTGTTGACTTTGCATGAACACACAAGTGGTTTATCTTTAATATCTTGTCGTTGTGCTTCTCTGTAGGTTGTTTATATCAGAAGGAAAACTAGGTTAGTAATCTTTTTTGTTGCTTTGTTGTTGCTCTCTATATAAACGTGCCTAGCCTTGCCTCTTTACTTTTTGAACACAATTTGGATCTTTTTTTTATTTTTTATTTTTATGTTTCGCTTCAGATTAGATGAGCTGCGTCACAGGCTGATTCCTCTGTACAGCTACGACCCTGCGGAGGAGGAACAAGATGAGTGGGGGTATGAGGGCAAGGATGAGAATGATGAGGAGCTAGCTGTAAGCAACCCCCCCCCCTCCCCAAACATTTACAACCTGATACAAAACCCTATTTTATATCCATATTTAATGCAAACTCATACAGATTGTGTTTTCTTTACAGGAACCTTTGTACAAAGGAGCAATGCTTTATCTGTCACCTGACTACAGGACATGAACAGAAAACGGAGACGGCTGAAAGTTGTACTCATGTAGAGGAAAATATCCTCCTTTATATTTGGTGTACAAAGGAAAACAGTGCAAAAGTATTGTCCTCTGTATAAAACAACATGGGGTGACATTCATCTACTTCTAGCATGACATCAAATCTTTTAATGTCCTATGACATGATCTACATTGCCCACCAGATGGCGCTGTCATCCTGTCATTGTTGGGTTTTTCTTACTTCAGTTTGGACTTTTTTGCTTTTAAAGGGTGTAAAAGGTTTTGAAGTACAAGGAAGGTGCCATTTCTTGGACAATAAACCAAATGCTGAAATCAAAGCTAAAACTTTGAGTGTGTGTTTGCTGCCTAAAATAATTTATGAATTAGACTCAGAAGAGCTCAAAAGATACAGCTGTTCCTGCTTGGTAATCAGAGGGGTCTGCTGATGTTTGGAGGTTCCTCAGGTTGACTTCTTTTTTCACACGTAGAAAGATGGGATCACAAAGACAGAGCAGGTGAACAACTACTATCTGACAGATGTTAACTTAAGATGTGAAAATGTGTTTCCAGTCTGTGTCAACTCTTTTAACTTTGTGTGTGTGGATTTACATTAGTCTGGGTGTCCGTCCTCTTGGGCCATACTGGTTCCTGACCTCCATCATGTTGGCCTCGGCTTTGCTCCTCCCTGCTCTGAGCCTGGACAGCTTGACGTGCTACTACTGTCCTCTGCAGCACAAAGGAAAGTCCTGCCCCAACATCACAAGCCAGTGTCTGCCTCATCAGCGCTGCTCCAACTCAAGAGGCCACTACGGGCCAGTCTACATCCTGTCGGCTCAGGGCTGCGTGGACTCTGACCTCTGCAGCTCCCATGAAATGACCTCTTATCGGGGCGTGGAATACAACGTCAGCCACACCTGCTGCTGCAAAGACCAATGTAACAGCATGCCAAAGACTGACTCAAACCTGAAGATGCTACTGAGGATTGTTGATATCAAAGATCACACTAACGTCACTTTTAATGGTTTGGGAGAAGATTCATGTGCAAATTACAAAAAACCAAGAAGCTCCACTATACCTGACACTGCATTATAGTTATTTGTAAGAGAGGCCTGTTAGCCAGAGGCACTTAACTGAGTCTTCACAAGGTGAAACACATCCAGACAAATGTTTTCATGTTTGTGATTTTCTGTATTTTTACTGAATTAATGTTTGAATAAGAAACAGTACATTGTGGTCAGTGGCTTATCTTGTTACATGTACGCTCCCGAGAGAACAAGGTGGACTTGTCAGCCATCCTCTTTCTTCTAAATAATGACCTAAATTAAAGCACCAGGATAAACCCCCAACTCTGTGTAGATGCTTTGTGTAGACGTTACAAGCAGGTGTGCGAGGAGGCGTGGCCTGTTCAGGAAGGTCTGGAGTCAGTGAGTGTGGAATTCAGCAGGAGAAGCTCTGAAAGGTTTTTTCCAGTTTTATTGAAGTTAAGATCTTAAAAATGCACAGGTAGGTTCCCATTGTACTGATTGTTTTTAAGTTGCATATTGATATTATTTCTGTCATTAACTTTGCTTTAACAGTGTTCAGCATTTTTAACGAGACAATCAGTAGAGACCACTAACACCTGTGCTTCAGAGAAGGACGAGGCATTCACTTGCTGAATGTGTTTGTTTGGAAAAGAAGAAAAATATAAAACATCAGTAAGAGATGTTCTTGTCATATGGAGTACTACATAGCCAATACAACTGTAGTTTAACATCTTTTGAGACCCTCAAGGAGCTTTGTAAAACAAGAGATAATCCCTTAAATTGTGAATAAATCTTGGATCTAAGAACAAAACATATTAACAGTGTGCAATATAAACTTGTTTAATGGATTTTGAAGATCATAATTAAGGCAAAAAAGGCCTAGATGGCAATAAGTTGCATTATGGGAAGTGTGGTATCCAATGTTTTTATTCTACAGTGTCTATCTTTAGTGTGTTACTAAATGAATGATGTGCTCTTGAGGTTTCATTTATTAGATTTATTCAGTCAAATTACCAACACACTTTTAACTTGCAGGCTGAACACGTTGCTGCTTGTGCGTGTTGCCGTGTTGTGGTTCTACCTCCTCCTTCCCTCCCTGCTCGGTGACAACATGGTGTGCTACTACAGCCCCGTCTTGGAGAAGGAGAAGAAGTTTGAGCTCATTGCGACTGTGTGCCCTCCTGAGGAGCTGTGCTTCAAGGCCGATGGTCGCTACGGAAACCACAGCGCCCTGTCTGCCAGGGGCTGCATGGCGAAGAAGGACTGCGGCCAGGTGCACAAGCTGCGCCTCAAAGGAACCGTCTTCACCATGAGCTACAACTGCTGTAATGAGGCATACTGTAACTCCAGCCCAGGGATGGCAGCCACATCCCTCTACATCACAGTAACACTGATGACTTTACTTGTGATGGCCCGGGGCTTTTGAATTACAGACTCCTTTGCGTTCATGTCATTAGGAAAAATGTGTACCTAGTTTACATGCATCTCTGCAGCCTCAGCATGGAGCAATGCAGAGGGTCTGCAGTGGTTGCACACTCAGTACTAAGACACTGAGATGTGCACCAAGGAGATGCTGGAGAATCAACTTCGATTTTTAAAGTTACAAATATGTAAATATACTGTATTTATCTTTTAATATCATAAATAAACATTTAAGTAAGAGATTGTATTCTCCTTCGGCCTGAATATTTTAAGCACTTTTCTTTCTCATGTCAATGCACATACAAGACAAGGCTGGCATGTTCCTTAGTTCTTTGTCAAAAAAATCCTATGAAAAAGCCTAAAACAATGGATCATACTACAGTGCTAGGAGCTTGATATAACCTACCTCCTGTCTTTGTGGTATCAAAGAGCCACATTTGTATAGCATTACTTCTCTGATAACTAGAGTCTGCATTGCAGCTACAAATATGAATTCTGTTGACAAATCAAGTATATAATAAACACAAGGCTTATTGTTAAAAAGTGAAAGAGCAGCTCAAGCAATGTGTACAGTATGAGGTTTAGACAGTTCTTTATTTCCCTTTTATAAGGCTGCTGGGTCTCCCCATAGTGGATATACATATATATACAGGAGATTGCTATACTGGAGTTACACTGAAGGCAGAGGGTCCATATTACACAGACTTCAAAAAACAACACTGAGAGCCTCACCTCCAGGTATCAGAAATCAGCAGAGAGAGAGAGAGAGAGATGGGAAGAGGGAAAACAGCACAAGGGGGAGATGATACAGTCAGAGAGCCTGACTCGACTGCCTAATAACTTAACACTAGAAAGTAACATACAGATTTCACGCACAGTGCATCTTAAATAGGTTAGGTGAAGAACCATTTACCATAAATATCTGTATTTTTCGAAAAACCAACATATATAAAAAATGATTAAAAAAATCATTGTTCAGTCTTTTGGGTTTTTTTTTCTTTTCTTATTTTCTCCTTTTCCCATCGTGCGAATCGTTCTTTGTTTCTTCTTCCAATGGGGGCCGGGCTTTGCAGGCCCCGCCCACAGCCATTCCGGATAAACAAAGGACAAGAAACATAACCCAGCATCCCCATCCCCTCCCCCCCTTAAAAGCATGTGAATTAGTAGAAAACGAACAAACAAATGAACTGAACACCACAGTCAACTCATCACAAAAAGAATCCACAGACACACAGAACAGCAAAAACACAGTACTCTTTTTTTTTTTTTTTTTTTTTTTCCTTTTTTCAGCTTCATCATCGGTATTCCTCTTAATGGTCAGTATCAACATTGCGATCTTTCTCCTGGCGTACTGGTTGGCGGCAGTGGAGTGTTCCTCCTCCCAGCGGCTCAGTGGAACTAGGAGGCAACTTTCCAAATGGCTGGTCAGTTCAGCAGTGATACATTATCTCTCAATTTCACAGTGTGGTAGGAAAATGAGGATGAGTGGAGGGAGGGAGGGAGGAAGTGATAGAGAGGTAAGCGAGAGGGAAGGGTTATCAGAGGTGGGAATCAGAAGAAACAATTAGCAAACAACAAGAAACTCCGACAGTCCAGGATAAAAAGTAAACAAAATGGCTGCTTTGCTCCTTCTGAGTTTCAGTCCCCCCGACCCGTTCGGTTGGGTGAGCCTTGATTGGCTGGCGTAAACTGTTACGATGGCCCATGTTTGTGGCAGAGGGTAGGGAGAAATAGGTGAGGAAAGTCTGAGGCTTACAGGAATCCACTTGTGGATGGGACTCGACAGGGCAATATGTCTTCAGGAGAGAGAGGACGAAAGTTGCGGGTTGATGTGTGATTGGCAGGTCAGAGGGCGAATCCCTTCTTGCTGGGTTCAGGCACGCTGTTGCAGTGCCCGCCTCTTGCGGCTGTAGTAGTGACGGCCGGCAGTCTGTCTGGCAAAGTTCATCATGTAGTTTTGTTTACGAGTGCTGAAGGAATAAAGATACAGTGAAAGAGGGGGAAAGAGGAGTTTGAACGTTAGTGACTAAGCAAAGGGAACTCAAACTCCACTCATTGCCATGCACAAACTCTCTCCCATGCATGCAAACACACGAATGGTTGATCACAGCTTTCGCGCTCAGTCACTTCCAGGTTCATGCTGGCCTTTATAATCATGTTTCAGCCATAACCTCAAACACTCAACCCTTGAAGATATGGTGGCACTACTCTACACGACTGGATTTGTTTACGTTCTGCACAAATGAGAGGTAGCTAGATGGTGAACATGGCGGTAGAAGTTGCTACATGTTTCCATGACCAAATGCCACAAGACAAAGACATGGGACACAGAGTCTACAGACATACTACCACGGAGGAAAACTCTGACACTGAGTGTTTGAGGTCAGAGATCAACAGCCATCACTGGGAGAAAAGAAAAGAACTAAAGAAAAGTCATAAAAGTGCAGGGTTGGGATCAGAGAAGGGCTGTTTTCAAACTAAGAGACACAGAGAAAAGCCGCGGAGGATCGCTCTTGCTTAGCCTGTTCATTGCCTCTTCCATCCAGCAGGGCGGAGCCAGTGAGCCAGGAGTGCAGCCAGGGCAGGCAAGGGCCTCTGCAAAGCGGGGGGGGGGGATCAGGAGGGATTTGGGAGGGAGGTATGGTGCGTGTGCATGGTTGATGTCGTGGAGGTGGATATGTCAAGGTAGATGGAAGGGACGGCTGGTGAACTGCAAAGTGTTTGAGTGTGTGTGTGTGTGTGTGTGTGAGCTCGTTTGTTTTCTCTGATCCTTGGTTAGAAAAGAAGAGGGGAGTGAGGAGTGAGCTCCCGACTCAGAGACATGGTGTTGTTGTCAACAGACAGACAGACAGCCATGAATGAAAAAGGGAATGGTGAGCTGTTGCAACAGTCGACCTGTTAAGCCATGCAAGGAGCTGGATGGAGAAGGTTAGTCAGATGAAAGTCTTCGGAAAAAGAGCCTTCATTTGAAATCGTGATGCAAGATGCCCGCATTGCAATTGATGTTGATACATGAAAGAAAAAAAAAAAATTCTTCCAGTGCTTTAGCTGGATTCAAAATAAATGCAGGACCACAAACAGTTATCTTTTTCAGGTAGGGTTGAGCGGGTTAACCTGTGAGTAAGCCACTAAGTCAAAACACCGCAGTAGAGGTAGAGTTTCAATAACAAAACAAACAGATATAAGTATAGTGATGGATTACATCACACATATACACACAAACACAGTACCATTGACATTTGTATGTCATTTGCATGTCATTTATAATAAAAATGCCTTCAGAGATCTTGTTGCAGGGGTTAAAATGTTGTTTTTGAATTGAGTGAAACCATTCTGTTTAACCCTCCATTTACTGTGTCACTGTGAACATTGCTTTGATTTCTTTGTTGGGAGACGTCTCATAAGGTCTGTGTGTAGATCGTTTTATTGGAAAGCATCCACCTTCACACCTTTTGTTGACCTGCCTGGTGCTCGAGATATAAAGCACGGGCATGAATATGATTGTGGTGACGATGAGGAGGGCTGGGTGTGCCAGTGAGCGTGTTGGAGGGTTGTGCACAGTGTCTCAGGGAGAAGAAAGGGTTGGGAGGAAAGGGTGAGGGACGGGGCTGCATCCAGGAAGAGGCGGAGAACTTACCTCACACTACAGCCATGCCAGAGGGAGCAGAATACAGAAGAGAGCAGAGGTTAGAGCGCGAGAGGGGAGAAGCAGGAGGAGGGGACTGCTGTCTCGCAGAAAGGTCTGAGGGGGTAGGAGCCCCGGCCTGGGGAGGCAGGGGCCCAAAGAGGGGAGAAAGGAGGAGAGAGGAGAGGCATAAGGAGAGTCAAAGTATTAAGGAAGATGAGATAGTGAGCAGGATGACAGAGAGAAAGAGGCAGAAAGAATGAATGAAAGAAGAAGCGGAAAGAGAAGAAGAGATGGAAGAGATTTAGCAGCGAGACAGCAGAAATATGTCGTGAAGATGAAGGGTAAGTGAGAAAACCACAGGTAGAAGTGGAGACAAAGAGCAAGAAATACAGTGGTAATCCATCCGTCGTGGGCAAGAATGGGAAGCGAAAAGGAGAAACAGGGAAAGAGCAGGTTTTGAGGAAGGAGGAAGGCGGTGGTGATGAAGTAAGGTGGGATCAATGCGGCACAAGCAGAGGAGGGAGTATGACCACATGACCAAACACGTAAAGCAGCAGGGAAGAGAAGCGTTGGGAGAAAAATAAAAAGACAGGATTGAGCAGGAATAGAAGGGAAAGGAAGAACGTGTGAAGGAGTGGAGGAATTGGCGAACAGAGAGAAACAAACAACAGAGCAAAGTGTGAGGATCACGGTCACTCTTTTCAGCAGACACTGTTGAAAACCGTGGCAGTGCGAGGGAGGGAGTGCGACAGGTCATGACTGCTTAGACCAGGGACAGCTCAGGTAAGGCATTAGTGTGTGTTTGTGTGTATGTGGCACTTTTTATTAGCTGCGAATGAATCATCAGATGTTATGCTGCTGTTGTGAGCAGCATTTGAAAAGCTTTCGTACATGTCTGAATGAACAATCAGCACCGACATGAGAGGGAATATTGCTCTGACCCACATCAACATGCAGAAAATGCTTAATGATATTGCAATGTCAAGAATAAGCTAGCTGCGTATGTTCATGATATCTTCAGTGCCCTGCAGAATCTCCAGCTTTGCCATTTGTATTAGAAAACTGGGAATATCTTCCCCATTGAATAAATGCATTCTAATGGTTTTTAGACTAAAATGCAATAAAAATGTATCAGGTACAAGAAGGAGGAGAGAAACGATTGGCAAACCAGTGAAGAATTACAGGAGAGTAGAACAGAGGCAATCATACATGTGAAGCAACTTTCACAGTTTCTTTGTTTTGGAAATGGTATGATCTTGATTCAGCTCTGTGTCATGCCTTGTAGTGGTCATTAGGGGCAGATTGGCAAAGTGTGACTGAATATGCTAAATTATGAGTGGATGTCATACATCCAATAAGTGCTTTATTAGAGGATAAAATAGGAAGGTATTTAAAATGTTGGAATTTATGTTTTTTCAATAAAACCATATCTCAGACCATTGATACATTTTTAGCAGAAAAAGAGCTCAGCTGTGAGATCTTTGGGTTCCACAAAACACTGAGAATACGATGCTCTGACAACAAGGGATAATCTGTGGTACACAGAACAAACATCCACAAACAGATCCCTTTACAGCAAAGCTCACTCATCTTGTTCTCTGCAGACACTAGACGCTA